TGGCTTTAATAGTTGCTTATTATTTTAGATTTTAGTGCAAATTTTCAGTGCCTAGGAAACCTGCAGGATCCCCTCATGACTAGATATATACCACCATTCCAATTTGAGATCATTACTTCCATTCAAAAAACATTCGCCAAACAGGGCCAAACTATTCAATTCAACACAGTAGCCATTTATGGATTTGTTTATTCAAACGTATCAACATCAAAGTAGATGAAAGTATTTTGCCGATTGAAATTTAAAAAGATCAGAAGCTCTGAAGAAGCTGCTCAAAATGCGATGCAAGTAATTGAGTGCTTGGATCCTCATTGAAGGATGTTTTTTCATTTGTGGGTTTGTTGCTTTAGTTCCTCTATTCATTTGAATGGCCTTTTCATGCCTTGTGACTGGGCAGGCTGGCTCATTAAACATTATTTTGATGGAACTCAACTGTGGGCTCAGGGGAGGGAAGGTGACCAGCCAATTTAGAGTCAATTACTTTATAGCAGAGGGTGGTAAATATGTGAATTGGCTATTCAGAGAAACAGATTGTGTCAGAAGATTCAAAAGGGAAAAGGTTGGCTAACTGGGAAGAATTTGTTAAATTTATTAAAAATAGAGTAACGTACGATATTTATTTTGCTTCAATGGGCCAGATGGTTCACATTGATTTTTCTGTTTTTTTAAAAAAAATAAAGATTCCAACTGAAATGTGAATCAAACTTTGTAAATTTTTACAATAGAAATTTAACTTTCCAATGTTCAATCAGTCCAACTTTTAACAACAATGACTTGAATTTGAGCGCCCCTCACATAGTAGGATATTAAATCTAACTTTAGGAGAAGGAAAATTGGAAGGCAGGTCAACCAATCGTTCCGTCCTACACGTTAATCCTTACAACCAGTTGAAGAGTACACAAGTAAAATAGATCACCTCCTTGTCCTCTTGATCTGTATGGAAACTTGCAAAGTGGGAATGATAAGAACAACTTTCAGTTTTGTGCCCATAGTATAAATACAGAGAGTGGACGTCTATCAAGCGTTTGCAGGATTCCAGGGCATTGGGGGGGTGGAGAACAAATGTGGGACCAAGACAGGTTGTTTGCACAGGGGAAGGGGATTAAATAAAGATTTACTGGCTGGCACTTAAAGTTCCAAAGCCACCCCATAGAGAAGGAAATAGAGGTACTTGAAGTCAGTAATGGCTCAGAGCAGCTAATGTTACCATAGCAACAAAAACAGGGTTGACTCAGTATAATCAAAGCTACCACCAGAAATGAGAATCAAACTTTATGTATTTTTTTACAACGGAGCTCCTTTGTATGTATTGTATTAAATCTGGTGTATTTATGCAAAGCTGTGAGATGAAAATAACCTCGATTGGATATTGCATAAAGATCATTCTTATACAGGCCTCCTTTGGTCAAGCATTATACTGTACTTATAATGCAGTCAAAATCATTCTTGTACAGGCTGCATTGGTTTGCAATGTACATCAACTCCTTGATAATCCAAAGAAGCAGGTCTGCTGAATTTTTGCAAGCATGTGACCTCGGTACTATCATAGTAATTCCAGTATGGTGATATTCTAATAAATGCGGAGCTGAGTTGACAAGCAATTTATGCTAGGATCAGAATTCCAATTAAAGATTAGAGGCATCTCAATATGATCCCTTTTAGGAATTCCATTAATCCTGTACTTTTCTCGAAATTTCACTTTCCAGCTAAAAAGCCTTGTTGTGATCCTCTTAACCTTTTTGGTGCTTCCTATTACACAATTATTATGGCACCCAGTCAGAAAATGACTGTATAATTTCTCCTGGTGCTCACTGAAACCATTGTGATGGTGCTTGTATGTTACTTAAGTTGCAAAGAATGGAAGTGAATGGCATAAGGAAAGTCTGAATTTGCCTTCATATTATTGCCTGTTTAGATTATGTCTGGGCTTGACTTTGACTGTAACTGTATTGTACCAAGCAGCTTGTGTTTTGTCAATCCCCACCCCCACCCCACCCTTCAATAGAGCCTTGCCCTCAGCAGCAGCCCGCTCCATAGAATTTGTTTTATTTTTAAAAGATAGCAACAGAAATGTGATTATTATTTCTCATCCACAATGATATGAATTTTTTTTAAAAAGTTGACTCACAGCTCATTAGCAAGGATTTTGTAAATTGACGCGTTCAACTGACAGCATAATTCCTAAGTTAGACAGACAGATATTGTGGTTCTTTTCATGCCAATTTATGCAATCAGGAAAAAAACCTTGGGTGGCCGTTGCTGGTGATGCAATCAGTCCACTGCCTCTCCCTGTGGCTGGCGTACCCCCAGGTTCTGTATAACCCTGTGTGCCATTGTGTTCAACGGATGTTGAAAGGCTTATGACAATTCTCTTCCTGTTGGCTGCTGGGCATCCAGTAGCAATGCTAGGGTGATGTAGTTGAGTGCACACTGTTTCTGTTTGAATTCTCTTAGCTTCCCTGGAGTTCGGCCTGCCCGTGCATTAGTTTTACGTTCTCTTAGCTTCCCCGGAGTTAGGCCTGCCCGTGCATTAGTTTTATATATACCTGTATATTAAAACGTAGTGGCTATGACTATTTTGTTCGTATTTTTAGTTAGTGATGATCATAAGCAATGAGAATTATTTCAACCAAGTACTTGTTTTTAATCTTGTACATGATTCATTGATGAATGATTGCTGTTGTAGTCCAATTATTGTCACATATACCACGAAAGATAACAGTGGAGGATGTGGAACACACCTGGAGGATGTGGAATGAAAAATGTTTTGTCTTATTAAGCGTAGACCCAACACCTGGCCCCTGTTAGTGCAATGTCAATGTACTTAATGGCTTGAAGAATTTCTCAACATTGTGTCTGATTTGTCTGTCTTGACTTGTTTAAAAAGAAGTGTGTATTTCAGAAATTTCTGTAATAACTTTCAGGTAAAATCTGCTCACCTGCTAAAGGGGCCAGAATTGCACGAAGCACTTGGTATCTGATGGAAGCCTTCAGTTTAGATTTCTTTTAAATATACAAAATATACCTTTACTGAAAGACAGTTTCATGTTTGGAAATATAGCCCTCTATTCGATCTTTACTCCTTCTTTGCTAAATGCATGTGTAGATAGTAGCATATCAATACCTGAATTTCAATGGACATCATGGGCCAAATAAGTTTTAGATGGATAGGGATTAGGAGGAGTGGAAGGAGTGGGGGCTGCAAGAGCCTTGCTGATTTTCTCCTTCCCAACCCAAAAGCCACAAGACCAGTTTTAGTGCCTCAACCACTGTCCTAGGTCAGACTGGACGGACTGGCATTTCAGACCTGTAACCTTCAGCTCTGAATCACTTTATGCTTCTGGGCAGTACCCAGTGATTAATTAAGGTCATTGGGAAAACTATTTGGACTGTGGTTAGCATTGCCAATTGGAATAGAAATTTGAATTTTATTAGCAGAAACTTCACCTGAATTTAAATTTATTCTATTTCTGGAGTATTTTAAAGTGTCGAAAATTTGGACACTCTGAGAAGCTAGTAAACTGCTGAATTCAGTCTAACCTTTGAAGTTGGTTTTCTGCAGTTCATAAAAGAACTTTCATAAAATCAGCTTCAAAATTGAGGCTGTGTTTAAATAAATGCCAAATTCTGCGTTCCCTGAACTGCTACATGAAGTAGAGTCCTGTAGCTCAGTGGTTAGCGCACTCGCTTTGCAAGCGAGAGACCTGAGTTCAATTCCAGGCACAGGGCGAAACCTTGGGCAAGTTTCCTTACTCCACACGTCTAATAATAATCCCTCCAAAACAAAACAATAATAAATTGGTCATTTTCAATCCATGACTGTTTGTGGGACATAGCTGTGCGCAATTGGCTGCCGCGTTCGCCCACAAATATACAGTCAATTCACTTTACAGTGTGTTCTGTGAAGCGATTTGGGACGTCCTCCCAACGTGAAAAGCGCTATATCAAATGCAAGGATTATTATAGAGTGTTTATTTGCATACAGTAAATCCCAACCCAGGTGGAATTTCTCTCCTCCTTCAGAGTCTCGTAAATAACCTATCTCCAATTGTTTGGATAATGTGCATGTGAACTTAATCTAAAACACTTAAATAAAAAGAAGAGAGATGTCTTTGGCTTTTCACTGAGCTTTGGGAAATTGAAACAATTTGCCATGGACAAAGATTGTACGTCTTAATTCTGAATGTAATGAACAATATCTGTACTGGAAATATGCCCTGAAGGTGCAGCGTTGCCATAACGTATAAAATAAAACCTACTGTGTATATGGTGCACAGCTTTCAGCTTCCAAATGAATTTATAAATTGAATGCAACAGCACTCCTGTTATAATGAAATGACTACCTGCTGACAGTAAAAATCTGAGCACCAGCCTTTAAGTGTTTAGTCTGTCTGGGGGATCTTGACTCAGCCTGTGGGAACTCTGGTAATCGAGTCCTTGACCTTTGTCTTCTCCCTGCCCAACTCTTCTCTAAAGTATGCTTTTTAAAAAAAGTTTGCTTCATTTTAGCTGCAGAAAGTTCCTCTTCTCTCTCAATGTTATTTGCAACCTTTGTGCTTCATTGGCTCAAGACCTGAAGAAGCAGTGCAAAGCTTCTCTGCTGCAAAAAAAAGTCTTAGAACCAATGCAGTAATTTCAAGTAAAACAGTTGATGTTTTTTGTAAAATACTAAATGAAAAGCATACACGGTCTATACTTCATTCTGCCATCATTTTCTGCAAATGGATTTTCCTGATAGTGGAACCTTTGACATGGGGAAATTTTGTCACAGCGAAAAAATACACAGTTGCCAACTGAGAATTGTAGTACCGTCAAAAAAAATTAAGAGCAGATATTTTTGTGGGGAGAAAGAATTCTGAAAAGCTTATTGAAATGAACAATTTTTGGTGTTTCTGCAGTCATTTTCAGAAAATGTATTTTTAATTATTTATTCAATTGCAATTTTACTTTTAATTGAAAACCTAGATGTATAGTTCTGATGTCCTTTCTTTGCCTTCCAGATTTTGCTGACTTTTAATGTCCTTGTGATAAAGGATGATAGAAATAAGTTTCGTTAAGAAGGTACAGAGAACGAAAAGGTAAGATTCTCCTTGTCCCTTCCACTCCAATGTAAATATTTGCATTCCATTTATTTTCTTGCTTCTATTGCCACCATATTGCTTAAGCCCCACTTTGAGCTCTGAGCTTATTATCTAGGTTGGCACATTCGTGCATTGCTGGGGGAGTGCTGCATCATCAGAGGCGCCATTCTTCAGCTGAGACATTAAACTGAGGCCCTATCTGCAATGAAGATCCCGTAGTACTATTCAGAAAGAGAAGGGTTTTTCTCAATTTTTCAACCACTACGCCCTGAAACTCTAGACCTTGCTCCCTCAATCCCTCCGTATTGCTCTCTCCCCATCTTCAAATTCCGCCTAAAGACCTATCTTTCTGATCTTGCTTATGGTCACCTCCCCCCTCCGCCTGGCTCATTGTCAGACTCCGTCACTGTCAAGGGCTCCAGGACACTACCCTGTGTGAAGGGCGCTCTATAAATGTAAGTTGTTGTTGTATTTTTTCGACTGGCCAGTTTTGAGGTCCTATGAGAAACGGGCAGTTCCCATGTTGCTGCCTGTTTTTCTTTCCACAGAAGAGTTTTGACCCACTTTAGGGATGTAATTTCGTCCATTAGATGTTTGAAACCGTTTTCAAATTGTTACAAAAATGCAGCAGGCTTCATAGGCATCACCATTTTTAATTTGCAGACTCTCTCACACAAACTAATAGAGAGCTTTGATATTGGGATAAGTAATGTGCAGTTCATTTGCCTTGGCAACATGTGCAATCCATGCTTAGAATGGAATTTCCTATCAAAAGTGCAGAATGCAAAGCTAGCCATTTATTGCACACTGCTGTGAAATTGATAAATATTTAATTGAATAATGGCCATCGTTCAGAGTAGCGCTCGGACTGACCTCAGCTCTCTGTCCACGGCCCCACCCCGGCTCTCTGGCCACAACTCCCCCCCAGCTCCCTGACTACCCCCCCCCAGCTCCCTGGCCATGCCCCCCAGCTCTCTGGCTACACCCCCCCCAGCTCCCTGGCTACCCACCCCCAGCTCCCTGGCTATTCCCTCCCCGGCTCTCTGGCCACCCTGACTCTCTGGCCATATCCCTATCCTGGCTCTCTGGCCACATCCTGCTCCAGCTCTCTGGCCACCTCCCCACCCCGGTTCTCTAGCCACACCCCAGCCCCGGCTCTCTGGAGACCACCACCTCACAGTATGTTACCTGCCAGTTGCCTATATTTCCACGTGGTTTGCAGTTAAGCTACGTCAGCTACTTTAATGTGATTTCACCCACCTGCAATAATTTTAAAATTCTGATGTAAAGTAAAAATATTGATGTAGAAAACTAATACTGTTGAAGGCAATTGTTGACTGTCTTGATTTTACACACTGGAGGGCTACACTATTGTTACAAAATGATTGTTATAAAGTTTACCTTATTCCATTATAAAACACAAGCAATTATTGCAGCAGATGGAGTTATTCTCCTTGAAATGAGCTTGTCAGTTTAGTTGTGATTTGCACTGCTTGTATGTTTAACAAACCTAAGCAGCTGAAGAAGACTTATTTCTCACTGGCCAGTAAATTAACCAATCTTTTAATAAGTTACACCAGCTATCTAGGTTAGTAAATGTATCCACAATCTAGAATCGTTCTCCAGGTCTCATTTTTCTATCTACTTATGTTAAACCAGATTTGGAGGTCTTTCTATACTTTGGAAAACTCACGACTAAAATAGAACATGACACTACAAAACAAAATGCTACAAAACTTCATAATGAGCCAGTAAATAAGAGAAATCTGAAGAGTAAAGGCCACAGCTGTCAGAGATGAGCAAGAGAACTACAGTCCATTTGTCAGAAATATGGAGTAGAGGGACAGTTTGGCATGATGATACATTTGCTGGAGTATCTGCACTATCAATACATGAGCATGTTTGGTATGTAAGAATATGTCTGAACACAGTACGTTTGCTGTCACAGATTTATTTAAGAAGCTTTGCAATCTCCTTGAGTGACAAAGATCTATAGCCAATGTCTTTGACATTTGAGCGCAAATGTCATGAGAGGGATTTGCCGGTCCTGTGACTGACACTCAATAAAACATGTGTGAATTGTTAGAGGCCACAGTGATTGAACTCAGGCAGGGCAACTGATAAGACCAGAGCATATCTAACCTAGGGCTGCACTTGTTAACCTCGTATAGGTTAAGAGCACCATAGGTTTACAGACTCTATGGGACAAACAGTAACCTGCAAACCACTTCAGGTGGCTGAAGGAGCTTTAGAGAATATTTTTGCAATACATTTCTAAAATCTTTGCAGATAAAATCAGCAATAATTGAAAACTTAGATAATTTATCGTGCTGATCGCTTCAGATGGCTTGTCTGGACTTGAAATTGGTTGCTGGGGTCAAACGTCAGCTACTCTTTAGCGTAATCATGGAGCAAACCACAGGTGTACTTTACAAATGGGTGTCTTGTTAGCAGAGCAAATTGTAGCATTTCAAAATTTTTGTCAAAACTATTTCAACAGTAGCAATGAAATTGTTCATCTTGCAGTTTCAATTGTTCAATTGTTATCTTAAAGTCACTTTGTTTTCAATAAGCCCAAACCACTTTTTCTTACAAGCGCTGAGAGCAAACACAAAACTGACATTTGGACCTATTTTGGATTCTTTTTGTAACTTCTTTCAGAAGCAGCTGTTTTTCGGGGTCTGATAGATACACGTGGAAACCCATTGTCATGCTTAGGAGTATCCAACCTAGACTGAGAGCTCCACTTATGCATGGAAATTTCTCCTTGTCTGGAATGGAGTGTGGCATATTCTCCCTGGAGGAACGCATGCACCACCTCTCCTAATCCCATGAAGTATGAGGCGCAGGGTTGTGAAAGGAGTGGAAGATCATTGATAGAAGCTGGACTACTTCCAACCAATGTTATGCCTGAAAGAGGTATAATCAGGGCCAGATTAAGTTTGATGGGGGCCTAGGGCTATTATCATTTTGGGGCTCCTCTTTGCATGTTCAATTCCTTCCCTTTACTATTTTACCATCACCTATGCCCACGGCAATGCCAAACACTCTATTGTTAATATACCTTGACAGAGACACCTGTAAGGACACCTGTTACTTGGATTGTGTGTTCACAAGTTGCACTTACTAAGACCCCTGCGTTAAAACGTATCTATAGCACTTTCTAGAGGAGCCGGCAGTTTTTCACTGAATTCGATCCATTCATCCTGTTTGCCTGAAGGGACACCTGAAGTGCTCCCCTGTGAGAGAAATGCTTCGTCAACCATTAGCTATTGTTTCTTTTGGTGTTGCACTAATTGGTGTGGTTATCAGAGGCCATTAAATTTCCTCTCTAATACGAAGACCCCCCCAGCTCAGAATCTCCTCTTGAGCCCCTGGAAGTGGTAAACTAGTGCTTCTTGTATTGGTTATAGGCTCCCTAATGCTAGCCTGGCAGTTCCCAGAGCACTTGGTCCACCAGAATCTCAAGTGGACTTCCTGAAAGCTCTGCTCTCCAGAGACCCACACCAATTCTCCAGCTAATGCTTCAATTGAGCTACCACACTGCAGCTCAAATTCACTTTTCAAAAAAGCTGTCCCAATTGTTTCTTCCTTCCTCATTCTTTAATCACCAATATTCAAGAACTCGCTTCCAAAACTATTCTGCCTTGATAGCTCTCTCCTTCGGAAGCCCTCCTTAAACACGTATCTCATCACGCCTGGTTTTTGTCAGTTGTTGTACAAATTGTATTTCCTTGCTTGGTGTTCACCATTGCTTTTGTCTAGTGCTTTGAGGCATTCTTTCATGCGAAAAGCGGTACACGGTTTAAGTGCACGTCGTTGCTGATGTGTGGCATTTCACTGCGAAACCTGCAGAGAAAAAGACGATTATCATTTTTATGCAGTGCAAAATGCATTTGCTCACTCCACACCTGGGGAAATCATTTGCTTTTCTCATCCATTACACTCAGGTGTCATTCTAAATACGAGTCTAAAAATCTTGAAATATTATTAGCATATAGCACAAACACCATTGTGTAATCCAGGTTAGCATTGCAACTCTCAGCAGATTCATTTCAGGTAACCCACTAGTCACTTTTTTTTAAAAAAGGACCAATTGAAGCAATGGGTTCTGCTACTTTGATCTGATGACTGGTTCACTAAAGGTTCAAGAAGAAAATCAGCATAGCAGGACTCTAATTTCTGATAAGAGTAACTGAACATGAAGATGAGAATATCAGATTTGCCTGGGAGTCATATAGTGAGAGGTGGTAAGCGGAGTCACAAGCTCCCTTTCGCTGCATATTACTCAGCATTTAGAAGGAATCCTCAGTGGAAGCTTTCTCTCCAGAAGCAACTCTCGATTTCTCTGGCTCCAGGTTTACTTTGACCTGACAATCAGATCTCCTGTTGCCTCCACACACAAGAATTCTGATTTGATGCTAAAAGTCTGAGAGCTTGTGCGAGTCTAACCAAAGCCTTTCCACACCCGCCTGGTAGTCTTAAATTCATTGTGTCGGTATCATAATGACATCAAGAGATTTGAACACACAAATTTTTGGTTTTTTGGATCTCCTCAATGATAGCACAAACATGACAAAGGTTTTGCCCACAAAATATAAAGTCAATTCAGTTTACAGTATACAGTTTACAGTGCTTCTGTGAAGCGCTTTGAGATGTCTCGAAAACGTGATAAGGCCCTATATCAAATGCAAGGATTATTATAAAGCTCAGTGAAAAGCCAAAGACATCTCTCTTCTTTTTATTTAAGTGTTTTAGATTAAGTTCACATCCACATTATCCAAACAATTGGAGATAGGTTATTTACGAGACTCTGAAGGAGGAGAGAAATTCCACCTGGGTTGGGATTTACTGTATGCAAATAAACACTCAATAATAATAATACTTGCATTTGATATAGCGCTTTTCACGTCGGGAGGATGTCCCAAAGCGCTTCACAGAACACACTGTAAAGTGAATTGACCGTATATTTGTGGGTGAAACGCAGCAGCCAATTG